GTCAGGGGTGCAGGCAGGGAGCAGGCAGGAGGGGTGGAGGCAGGAAGGAGGCAGGGAGCAGGCAGGAGAGGGGCAGGCAGAGAGCAGGCAGGAAGAGCAGACAGGGAGAAGGCAGGGGAGGTGCAGGCAGGGATCAGGCAGGGAGGAGACAAGTTTCAGGCAGGGAGAAGGCAGGGAGGAGGCATGGAGGAGGCAGGGTGCAGGCAGGGAGTGGACAGGGAGAAGGCAGGGGAGGTTGTAGGCAGCGTGGCAGCAGGAAGCAGGCAGGGAGGAGGCAAGTTGCAGGCAAGTGGCAGGCAGGGAGCAGGCAGGGTGCAGGCAGGAGAGGTGCAGGCAGGGCAGGTGCACATCAGGGGTGCAGGCAGGGAGGAGGCAGGGTGCAGGTAGGAGAGGAGCAGGCAAGGAGAAGGCAGGGGAGGTGCAGGCAGGGAGCAGGCAGGGAGGAGGCAAGTTTCAAGGAAGGAGGAGGTAGGGAGCAGGCAGGAGAAGTGCAGGCAGGGAGCAGGCAGGGAGCAGGAAGGAAGAGCTGCAAGCAGGGCAGGTGCACGTCAGGGGTGCAGGCAGGGAGCAGGCAGGAGAGGGGCAGGCAGGGAGAAGGCAGGGTGGAGGCAGGAGAGGTGCAGGCAGGGAGCAGGCAGGGAGAAGGCAGGGGAAGTGCAGGCAGGGAGCAGGCAGGGAGCAGGCATGGAGGAGGCAATTGCAGGCAAGGAGAAGGCAGGGAGCAGTCAGAGTGCAGGCAGGGTGCAAATGGGGTGCAGGCAGGGAGCAGGCAGGAAGAGCTGCAAGCAGGGCAGGTGCATGTCAGAGGTGCAGGCAGGGAGCAGGTAGGGTGCAGGTAGGAGAGGAGCAGGCAGGGAGAGCAGGCAGGGAGCAGGCAGGGGAGGAGACAAGTTTCAGGCAAGGAGAAGGCAGAGAGCAGGCAGGGAGAAGGCAGGAGAGGTGCAGGCAGGGAGCAGGCAGGGAGGAGGCAGGGGGGAGGCAGGCAGGGAGCAGGCAGGGGGGAGGCAGGCAGGGAGCAGGCAAGAGGGGTGCAAGCAGGAGATTTGCAGGCAGGGAGCAGGCAGGAATCAGGCAGGCAGGGATTAGGCAGGGAGAAGGCAGGAGAGGTGCAGGCAGGGAGAAGGCAGGGGGCAGGCGGGGGGGTGCAGGCAGGAGATTTGCAGGCAGGGATCAGGCAGGAGATTTGCAGGCAGGGATCAGGCAGGGAGGAGGCAGGGAGCAGGCAGGGATGAGGCAGCAGCAGAAATGCCCTGCACCTCCACAAACTCCCCAACACTTTCCCCCCCACCCCCGTCCTCCCGATGTCCCCGAGTCCCCCTGTGATTTGGGGGGGGGACAGGGGGACCCCCCACCTTCCCCAGGGCCACCCCTTGCCCAGCAGCACAAGGGCGGGGGAGGGGCAGGAACCCCAGCAGCGCTAAAAAAGGGCAGATTTGCAGAAAAAAAAAGAAAATTTAAAAAAAAATGGAGGATTTGGAGGGAAAAAAGGGGTTTTTTCTCAGCGTGTCACCGCGTCGGGCAGAGCTGGTGGCACCGAGCCCGTCCCTCCCCCCTGTCCCCCCCCCATCGCGGGTGGAAAAAAAAGCTCGAGGACTAAAATGCATCATTAGTGATGAGGGTAAGTTTGTATTAATTGGGCTGAAATTGGGCTGAAAAGCAGGTTCCTGCTCCCGGAGCCGTCCCTTCTGAGGAGCGTCTTGGGGAGGGGATGGGGGGACAACGGGGTGGGGTGGGGGGGTCAGAGGGGACGGTGGTGGCACCTGGGGACGCTGGGGTGAAGGAAGGGGTGGGGGGACACTCACCCCGGGGTGGCCCCGCGGGACCCCCGGCGCTTGGTGCGGAGGCTGGAGTCGGTGGTGGAGGAGGTGACGGCCACCCCAGGACCTGTCCCCGGGGCGAGGGGACCCAAGGGACATCGGGGACGGCACCGTCCATCCATCAGGGCGTAAACGAGGGGGTTGATGCAGCTGTTAACGAAGGCCAGGCAGGTGCTGGCGGCCACCACCCACCTGAGGGCCACCTCCTGCCCCTGGGACAGGGCCAACGTCCCCTTGGCGAGGAAGAAGAGGAGGACCTTGCAGACGTTGAGGGGCAACCAGGAGCAGAGGAAGGCTACCACGATGGTGACGATGGCACGGTGGGAACGCCGGACCCCCCTGCCCAGCCGGACGTGGCGCTGGAGCTGGCAGTAGATGGAGCAGTAGCAGAAGGAGATGACCCCCAAGGGCAGGAGAAAGGTGAGGAAGACCATGGCCAGGCTGAAGTCCTCTCCGTCTTCATCCCAGCAGTCGTCCCCGTCCAGCCGGCGGTACACCAGGGACGGGGCGCCCAAGAGGAGGGAGGCCACCCAGATGATGCCACAGGTGACGTGGACGTGTCGCTGGGAACCCGTCATCTTGGTATCCAGCACCTTCTTGATGACCAGGTAGCGCTCCACGCTGAGGGCGGTGAGGAAGAGGATGCTGGAGCAGCGGTTGACGGCGATGACGTAGCTGCTCACCTTGCAGAGCCCTTCGCCCAGCGGCCAGCGGTTGCCCCGTGCCCCCGCCACCACCCAGAGGGGCAAGGTGAAGATGAAGATGACATCGGCCACCGCCAGGTTCAGCACAATGGTGTCCACCACCATCCTCTTGCCCCGCCTCTTCTTGGCCATCAGCACGATGACGAAGAGGTTCCCCGCGAGGCCGAGGAGGAAGATGAAAGAGTAGAGGCCGGGGATGAAGACGGTGGTGAAGAAGACCTCCCACTCAGAGAAGACTTCCCCATTCCCTGTCACGTTGGCCATCGGTGGGTAATCGTAGTCGGTGGAGCTGGTGAGCTCCTCGGGTGCCATGGCGGTGGCCCGGTGTCCTCCCTGGTGGCCTGGTGTCCTCTCTGGTGGCCCGGTGCCCTCCCCGGTGGCCCAGTGTCCTCCCCGGTGGCCCGGTGTCCTCTCGGGTGGCCCGGTGTCCTCTCTGGTGGCCCGGTGCTTTCCCCGGTGGCCCGGTGTCCTCCCTGGTGGCCCGGTGTCTTCCCCGGTGGCCCGGTGTCCTCCCCGGTGGCCTGGTGCCCTCCCCGATGGCCCGGTGTCCTCTCCAGTGGCCCGGTGCCCTCCCTGGTGGCCCAGTGTCCTCTCCGGTGGCCCGGTGCCCTCCCTGGTGGCCCAGTGCCCTCCCCGGTGGCCCGGTGTCCTCTCTGGTGGCCCAGTGCCCTCCCCGGTGGCCCGGTGTCCTCTCTGGTGGCCCAGTGCCCTCCCCGGTGGCCGGGGCGGTGCTCGCGGTTGGGTTGTTGATCTGAGTTTTGCTCAAAAACAGCGTCTCGCACTTCCTTTCCAATGGGGCAAGGGCCGGGGGGTGGAAGGGGCAGGAGGGGAAGCGCGGTTAATTTTGGAAACAGAAAAACACACCGAGAAGAAAGAAACCCCTCCCCAAAAAAAAAACCCAAACAAAAAAACAGAGCCGGGGGGAGAGGAAGAACCAGGGGGGTGGGTGGAGGAAGGCTCCGTCCCACCAGGTGATGGTTGAAGGCCTTGGGTGGACACCAACCTCAATCTGGGCTGGTGGGATGGCACCGAACGGAGCCACTGGCCACCAGCAGGCCCTGACGTTCTCCCACGGTGGTCACCCTCCGTCCCCAACCCCGGCCAACGCCACCCCGTCCCCGTCACCTTTACAGCGAGGAAACCAGATGAAAAAAACCCTTTATTTTCTTACATTTGTGGTGGTTGTTTCCAGCCGGAGCGGGTGCAGGTCGGGGGCGGACCGTTGGTTGCCCACCACCTTCCCGCGCCGCCCCCGGCGCTGCCAGCTCATTCCAACCCTGGGCACGTTGGTTCTCACCGCCTTGGGGACACCGAGGTGGCAGAACCTGCCACCACCCCCGACCACGAGCTCTCCCAGAATGACAGCGCCGGTGCCAGCGCCGGGATGTGCCTGGGCCCCCGGTTCCTCCTCACGTCTGCCGGGCGCCCGGCTCCACCAGCTTCATCTTCCTCAGGCTGTCCCTCACCAGCAGGAACTCGGGGCGAGGGGCTGGGTCCGGCCCCGCTGCCACCTCCTGCTCGTGCTGTGGTGGGTGGGGACAAGGAGGGGTGGCCATGGGTCCTAGTCCACGTCCCCTCAGCTGTGCCCACAACCCAGCCATCTCCTGGCCTGGGTGGCCCATCAACCCAGGCACCATCAACTCTCCTCAAGGCCTGACCATCTCCTGGCCTGGGTGGCCCTTCAACCCAGGCCCCATCAGCTGTCCCCATGACCTGGCCACCCTTGACCATCCCTTGACCCATCCCTCCAACGCAACCTCCCTTGGCCACCCCACAAATCCAGCCTCCCCTGGCTGTTCCTCAACCCAACTGTCCCAACAGCCTGGCCATGACCCAGCTGCCCCCATGACCTGGGCCATCTCCTGACCTGGGTGGTCCATCAGCCTGGGCTACATCAACTGTCCCCACAGCCTGGCCATCTCTTGACCAGGGTGGCCCATCAGCCATCCCCACATCCTGGACATCTCCTGACTTGTCTGTCCCATCAAACAAGGCTTCATCAATCATTCCCATGGCCCAGCCATCTCTTGACCTGGGTGTCCCATCAACCCACTCTCCATCAGCTGTCCCCACGACTTGGCCGCCCTTGACCATCCTTTGACCCATCCCTCCAACGCAACCTCTCTTGGCCACCCCACAAATCCAGCCTCCCCTGGCTGTTCCTCAACCCAACTGTCCCAACACCCAACTGCTCCCATGACCTGGCCTTTCCCAACTGTCCCCATGGTGTGACCTCCCTTCAGCACTCCCCAGATCTGAGGGCAATGGGGAATAGATGGGGCTGAAGGGGGATTGGGTGGAGGGAGGGAGGGATGGAAGGAAGGATGGAAGGATGGATGGAGGGAGGGATGGAGGGATGGATGGATGGAAGGAGGGATGGATGGATGGAAGGAGGGATGGATGGATGGAAGGAGGGATGGATGGATGGAAGGAGGGATGGATGGATGGAAGGAGGGATGGATGGATGGATGGAGGGATGGAGGGATGGATGGAGGAAGGGATGGATGGATGGATGGAGAGATGGAGGAAGGGAGGGATGGATGGATGGATGGATGGATGGATGGATGGATGGATGGAGGGATGGATGGATAGATGGGTGGATGGATGGATGGAAGGGTGGATGGATGGATGGAGGGGTGAATAGATGGATGGAGGGATGGATGGATGGAAGGATGGATAGATGGGTGGGTGGATGGATGGAAGGGTGGATGGATGGATGGAGGGGTGAATAGATGGATGGAGGGATGGATGGATGGAAGGATGGATAGATGGGTGGGTGGATGGACATACGGACAGACGGAGAATGGTGAGTTGAAGGCAGGAGGACTGGGCTGGATGGAGGGCTGGAGGGCTGGGACAGACAGATGGGGGTCAGAGGGACAGCACAGACCTCCTCAAGCCTCTGGTGGCGTTTCCTCAGCTGCTGCTCCAGGTCGGAGGGAGGTCCCTGCAGCTCCTCCCTCAGCTGCCTCAGCCGCCGGCTCTCCAGCACCCGCGGGAGCTCGGGCCTGTGCCGGGGCAGGAGACCCCTGTGGGGACGGACACACGGACTTCAGCAGGGCCACCCCCACCTGGCCACCCAGCCAGGGACCACCCCGTCCCCACACCCCGTGTCCCATCCCTGGTCACCTGCTGTGGCTGAAGAGCAGCTCCCGATGCATCTCCCGGTGGCTCCGGGACTCACGGATTGGGTTTGGCACCTTCTTGGGCTGGATGAGGCCCTCGTGGCCATCGGTGGCCATGTCCAGGGAGAGGACATCGGTCCTGTCACCCTCTGGAGGGGTAGCGGTGGTCACCGGGGATGAGGTCACCAGGGGATGGGGTCACCAGGGGCATGGGGTCATCAGAGGATGGGGTCATCAGAGGTGTGGGGTCACCATGGGATGGGGTCACCATGGGATGGGGTCACCAGGGGCATGGGTCACCATGGGATGGGGTGACCATGGGATGGGAGTCACCAGGACAGCTGTGGTCACCAGTGGGAAAGGGTCTCGTGGTGTGACAGCCCAGGGTCCCCACCTGCTGTCCCCCAGCACCCGGTGCCCTCCAGGATCCCTGCACCCAAGTGTCCCTGTCCCCACCCCCAGGCCACCCTATGGTCCCCATGTCCTCCTGTCACCCCTTGGGGTCCCCATCGTCCCTTGAGGCCCTCATTATCCCTGAGGTCTCCACCACCCATTGAGCGCCCATCACCCTTAAGGCCCCCATCACCTCCAGGGTCCCCATTGTCCCTGGTGCCCTCACTGCCCTGCAGGTCCCTAACTCCCTTGGGGACTCCACTGCCCACCCAGTCCCCATCACCCTTGGGGTCCTCATCACCCCCAGGTCCCATCACCCTTGGAGTCCTCATCACCCTTGGGGTCTACATCACTCCCCAGGTCTCCATCACCCACAGGGTCCCCATCACCCCCAGGTCTCCATCACCCTTGGGGTCCCCATCACCCTTGGGGTCTCCACCACCCTTGGGGTCTCCATCACCCCCCAGGTCCCCATCACTCCCCAGGTCCCCATCACCCTTGGGGTCCCCATCACTCTCCAGGTCCCCATCACCCTTGGGGTCTCCATCACTCCCAGGTCCCCATCACCCTTGGGGTCCCCATCACCCTTGGGGTCCCCATCACCCTTGGGGTCTCCATCACCCACAGGTCCCCATCACCCTTGGGGTTACCATCACTCCCAGGTCCCCATTACCCTTGGGGTCTCCATCACCCTTGGGGTGGTGACAGGGGGGACCTTGGGGTCCCCATCACCTTTGGGGTCCCCATCACCCTTGGGGTCCCCATCACCTTTGGGGTCTCCATCACTCCTCAGGTCCCCATCACCCTCAGGTCCCCATCACCCTTGGGGTCCCCATCACCCTTGGGGTCTCCATCACTCCCCAGGTCTCCGTCCCCCCCCCAGGTCCCCATCAACCTTGGGGTCCCCATCACTCCCCAGGTCTCCGTCACCCCCCCAGGTCCCCATCACCCTTGGGGTCCCCATCACCCTTGGGGTCTCCATCACCCACAGGGTCTCCATCACCCTTGGGGTCTCCATCACTCCCCAGGTCCCCATCACCCTTGGGGTCTCCATCACTCCCAGGTCCCCATCACCCCCAGGGTCCCCATCACCCTTGGGGTCCCCATCACTCCCAGGGTCCCCATCACCCTTGGGTTCCCCATTCCCCCTGGTCCCACAGCCCCGTGCCCCAGCACCAGCAGCACCCACCCGTCACCGCGCTGCTCCTCGGGGCTTTGTTGTCACCCTGGGAAAGGCAAAGAGCGGGGTCAGAGAGGGGACACTGGGCTGGTCCTTGGGCTGGGGACACGGCGGGGGTCAGGTCCCCATCACCCTTGGGGTCCCCATCACCTTTGGGGTCTCCATCACCCACAGGGTCCCCATCACCCCCAGGTCTCCATCACCCTTGGGGTCCCCATCACCCTTGGGGTCCCCATCACCCCTGGGGTCTCCATCACTCCCCAGGTCCCCATCACCCTTGGGGTCCATCACTCTCCAGGTCCCCATCACCCTTGGGGTCCCCATCACCCTTGGGGTCTCCATCACTCCCCAGGTCCCCATCACCCTTGGGGTCCATCACTCCCCAGGTCCCCATCACCCTTGGGGTCCCCATCACCCTTGGGGTCTCCATCACCCACAGGGTCTCCATCACCCTTGGGGTCTCCATCACTCCCCAGGTCCCCATCACCCTTGGGGTCTCCATCACTCCCAGGTCCCCATCACCCCCAGGGTCCCCATCACCCTTGGGGTCCCCATCACTCCCAGGGTCCCCATCACCCTTGGGTTCCCCATTCCCCCTGGTCCCACAGCCCCGTGCCCCAGCACCAGCAGCACCCACCCGTCACCGCGCTGCTCCTCGGGGCTTTGTTGTCACCCTGGGAAAGGCAAAGAGCGGGGTCAGAGAGGGGACACTGGGCTGGTCCTTGGGCTGGGGACACGGCGGGGGTCACCACCAGGTCCCTGCTTGTCACCCCCATCTCCCCCAGACCAGGACGGGGAACACTGTGGGTTCTCCAGGGTTGGACATCTTCTGTCCCTCCACGGCTGTCACCCACGGGGATGGTGTCACCCCCCTGGTGTCCCTCCCCCCTGGGGACAAGGGAGGGAGAGGAGATGGATGTTAACTCTGGAGCCTAAGGATGGCGAGGGGTCCCCAGGCTGAATGCTGGGGGTGACAATGGGGACAGCCAGACATCTGCCCTGGGGACAGTTGAGGGTGGCCCCTGTTGGGGTTGTCCCTGTCCCCTGGGACCCCATTGTCCCCTCCCACCCCC